TATATATATATATATATATATATATATATTGACCTCTTAAAATGCACCAGTCATAATTTATCTATATTTTCTCCTAGTTTCCATTTGATCCGATATGTCAATTTTTTTATTTGTTGCAGTTAATATCGATTAAAGCATTTTCTCACTTGAGGAATTTCGAAAATCAAAACTCTATATATAAAAGACTTCGGACTCGAGTCATACTTAGAGCACATAATCAATACTTAAAATGTATTCTTCAATACTAAGTATTACAAAGGGCATCTAAAACTAACATCACTCCACCTGCGTGAATCGCGAGATAACGACCAGAATTCCTTTGTCCGAAAATTGCAACATTCTATCAGGCACAAATTGTTATTACATGCAATTCTGAGCATGAAGAGAAATACGATACAGATTGATTCAGAGTACATATACTGTAAATAAGAAACATAGAACAGCTGCCCAAGAATCAAAGGTACCCCTACAAAATCATTACATGAAACATGTAATAAACCTCTACCTGATCAATAAATCTCCTCATTCTATTTTTATATATCATTTTTTCCAAAAGCTAATTTCTCATCCTGCTAAAAGTTAAAGTTTTTGTCATGGGTCTCTCCTATTATACATACACACATATTATAATTCGGGGAGATAGAGAGAGAATGAGAGAGAGCCTCACTTTATCCTTCACAAATCTGGCTGCTCATCAACAGCTTCATCGGTCGAGTCGTTGAAAGAGGCAGCAAGATACTCAGCAAGGCTCTGCTGAGAAATCGACGTTTTTGCAGCTTCTGGAGAAACTTTAGCTCTCTTCACCGCTATGGATTTTGGAAGCCATGATTGATCAGAACCGAGGGCATCAACTCCCTTCCAAATAACAGGTGTCAACATCTTCCATGGATCTTCCACCATTTCTTTTCTGTAATACAAATCCGGCCGTTGATCTGCCGAGACTGAATTGTGCGAACCTGCCCCTCTATTGCCTTGTGATCGACCTCTGCCTCCTCTTCCAGAATTGTTGTGGGAATTACTATTGTACTCACCTCTGCCTCGACCGTAATTAGTATGGGAAGAATCCCCCTGTCGGAAACTAGGGCTGGTGAAATTATTACCACCTCGAGGGAAATTGGGTGGAGTGGCATAGTTAACGTGATTTTGATTGAAATTGGGTCGCGGGCTCTGATTGAAATGGGGTCGCGGGCTTTGATTGGAATGGGGTTGCGGGCTCTGATAGAAATTGGGTCGCGGGCTTTGATTGAAATGGGGGCCTTGATTAAAATGGGGTGGCGGGCCCTGATTGAAATGTGGCGGCGGGCCCTGATTGAAATGGGGCGGCGAGCCCTGATTGAAATAGGGTTCCGGTACAGGCAATATTCTCTGACCTGGAGCGTTGACATGTGTATTCTGATAAACCGGCGGCGGTGGTAACATACCTTCATAAAGAGGTCCTATTATAGCCATTGAAAAACATTAATAAATTCTTCTCAAAAAAAAAAAAAGAAAGAAAATGTATTTTCATACTGTGAATGCAGCGAATATCGAATATATTTATATAATGAAAACAAGAAGCCACAACGATTCAATTAGTAAACCTAAAAATGTGGATCAGTGCGATTTCAGTAAAGATAAGTAAATTACTCTGAGGGGGTGTGTTGTAACGTGTTTGCGGGAACTGAGGGGAGATGTTGTTCCTCCTTTTGCTTCCGGAAAATGCTGCCATGGGGTCCGTGTAAAAATCAAATCTTTGAGAAGTATGGTGAAGGGGAGCCGTAGATGCAGATTCACTTTCAATTAAAGGGTTGGAAAGGCCACCTAATGAATTGTGAGGGTGGGTCGTTTCTCGTGTTTGGGCAGCTTCTGTTCGCATTGCGTTTAGCCTTTCTCTTCTTTTCTCAGATTCCTCCATTTTCACGTAAGTGCTTAAACACAGTTTATGACAACCTCTGCAAGACCGCAACACAAATATTTCTATCAAACCACAAGTATTCAGACGACAAATAAATAAATAAATAACTATCTACATGAAACGACCATCAATTGGAGTTACAAAATACGAGATTATCAGAGGTTAAGTACTGTGGGAGGTCGATTTAATGTCTAATGATTCCAATTTGATGCCAAAGGGATCAATACTCAAAGATTGGACGAACAACGAATCAGCTTTTATCGGAAAATAAGAAAAGCTACTGGAATTATAGCATGTTACTGTATATGGTTTGTGCGGACGGAGAGCATAAATACGAAACCCCCACTACATTAATTGGTGTGTATTCAGTAAAACCATAATCATAACAGTATCGGAATTTCGGTACAAAATGAATTCGTTTACCCAACAAGATTCAGTTCTACCAATTCTGTAAATAATTCATAAACAACAAGAAATCAAGCCTATTGCAAGAAGTGGACGAAATTCAGCAAGGCATATTGAACTATAATAGTATGATTTTTTAGCAGCAACCCAAATACCCAATCTGGAATTAGGGTTCTTAACTTAATAAAACATCAAATATATACAAACAGCAAATTTCATAAATAATCAAACAAAAGGAATATACCTAATTCGAAATAAGGCGTTTCTTCAGATGTGAGCTGGCCGGCTCCACTGTGAGGGGCGGCGGCTGATGGTAAATACAGAGACGTTCAGAATAATTTATTTATTTCCCCATTTTTTCTTTTCATATTTGATTATTTTTTTCAAATTTTTAATCATCTAAAGTACAATTGAGATTTTGAGTTTCGATTCATTTTAATTTTCAAAAATTATATTTGACATCACATAAAAAAATAAAACCTTAGCTCGGCGCCATAGCATACTAAAATATACTTTCTCCAAATTAGTTATCACCTTGAAAAAATGTTTTAAATTATATTTCATTTTAAAATTTCTAATAATGCATGGGAAAAATACAGTTTCCGTCCGTCAAATTTGCACCGATTTTACATTTGGTCCCCATATGTTCGCAAAAAAACACTCTTGATACCTCATGTTTAGAATATTCCACACTTTTGATCATTTCCGTCAATTTACCGTTAATACTACCGGAATCAAGTGTGTGCCCGTCACTGACTTAACTGACGGTAAATTGACAGAAACGACAAAAAATGTTCAATGTTTGAAACATGAGGGATCAAATGTGTTTTTTGCGGATGTGTCACAAATATAGAATAAGTACAAACTTGAGGGGTGAAAACTGTAATTTCCCAAAAAAAAAAATTTCAACTTTACTCTTATAACTCATAAATTATTTTAAGGCGTTTGCTATTATCAGTGCGGTTTTTACCACTCGCAGTGCAAAATAATTCATTTTTTTTTCTTTTCCAAATCTTATCCAAACCCCCTCAACCTTTAATTCTTGAAATTTTTCAAATTCAGTAATTTTTCGACCAATATCACTTAGAGCACAAGTATTATCGACATGGATGACAACGACTTCGATTTTGAGGTGAAAATACACGTTTTTTGTTCATTTCCAACGTTTTTAGACATTTCATGTTATAACACACGAAATATATGCTTCCATTTCGTGTAATACTATACGAAATATGTCTTAAAATCGTTTGTTGTTTGTTTCGTAGAAAAGCATACGAAATTAAAGCTTACATTTCGTAGTAAAACCTACGAAATGGAATCTCTTATTTCGTATGTTTTTACACGAAATTGTAGCTTACATTTCGTATGTTTTTCTACGAAATCCCTTAAATATTGTCTTTTAATTTCAAATATTTATGCAGGAACTAAGAGAACAATCTCACGATCATAGTCACTTCTTTGAAGGTGGTATTCTGTGTGATAGTAGAGAAGCGTTAATTATGTGGGCAAAAGACACAGCAATTAGTCATAATCATCGACTGATTAATCATTGTAAATCAGAAAAAAATCATATTTTAACGTGTGCAAGATATCAATGACACGTACTATTGAAGAAACGTTCTTGTCCGTTCAGGTTAATTGGCAAAAAATCAACGGAGGATGGATTAAGGCGATTGAGTGTGAGTAATGGTAATCATAACCATCTGCCGGGTATTTGAAAGTTTAACTTATGTTTAAATTTGTATTTGTTTTAATTTTGCATTTTAATGTTTAATTTATGTTTTGGAATATTTAAATTTGTAGCGTTGTGTTTTGCATTTTTTATGTTTAACCTATGTTTTTGGAATGATTAAATTTGTAAGGTTGTTTGTAAGGTTGATTAAATGTGTACTTTAATTGCTTCATTTGTACGTAGTTTCTAAATTCAAATCATAAAAGTAGTGAATTAAAATACAAAACAACAAACTAGTAAATTAAATAGTTCGTAATAATAATAAACAAAAATTAGTAAAATAATTAGTTCATAATAATAATAAAAACAAATTATTAAATTAAATAGTTCCTAACAGTAATAAAAATGCATAGTCCTAATAATAATAAAAATAAACTTTAAAATTAAATAGTTTATAAAAATACACAACTGGCAAAGAAAACTGATAAACTACCGCCTCGCTCTCCTTGGCGGCTGCACCTCATGATCGTCGTCGTCGTCGTCGTCGTTGTCGTTGTCCTGGTCGATGCCAATATATCGGGCGGCGGGCTGCATAATTTCTCCAAGGTCGGCACGTAGATCGGCAAACTGCTGCATCCAGTCCTGTCCAGTGCTCCTGGTGATCGGGTACAATTCACGTAATAAGCCGGCTGATCTGGTGGCCTCACATTCTCTCGATGCACTGGAGCCGGGCCTACATCGGGGTTGTTGATCTTCAGATGAGTCCGATCAGTGTACCACTCCATGTAGTGCTCGTCGACTTCCCCCCATTGTCGTGCCGTCTTGTATACGTTGACACGAATGGAATGAGCCTGGACCATGTCCCACATACCACCCGAAAATGGGTAGTTGACTTTGTACGATGTACCTCCTTTGGGACCGCGTGAACATGGCTCCATCGATGAAATCAAGCCGCGCGGAATATCCTGAACCCACCCGAACTGTCGGACGCAACGATCAGGCATATACGGCTCTACGACCCACATGTACTGGATCGTGCCATGATACATCGTACGAGGGATACTCTCGTGTATATCCCGACCATACGGTAGCCACTCGACCTAAACATAAAACAATATAAATACATAAATCGAAAAATTCATATTTAAAAAAACTACAAACATAAACCGAAAAATTCATATTTAAACAAACTACAAACATAAACCAAAAAATCATATTTAAACAAACTACAATTACATAAAATCGAAAAATTTCATATTTAAAAAAAATATAAACACATAAATCGAAAAATATAAATACATAAATATAAAAAAACTTACATCATACGCTGTCATATTGTCGAGTAAACCTCGAATATGCTCGAGCGTGCCCGCTTTTGGCGGCGCGTTCCACCTCTTGCATCGAGGCTAAAACTCGCGGTACCGTTTGCTCTTCTCCGGCGGCTGGAATCTCGGGAAATACTCTTATATCCAGCACTGCAATATTTTATTTAAAGATATATTAAAATATATTAAAATTTACAAAATATATTAAAATTTATTAAAATATATTAAAATGAACAAAATAAGTACAAAATATATTAAAATTTACCTGAAGAAGGGTGGTGCAACCCGCCAAGCTTCTCGACTGTGCTCGGCTGCATATACCCAACTCCCTGTATAAATTGGCCAAACAGGCCAAACCCCACGAATACGTGCCGACCTGATCAAGCACTGAATCCTCAAGCACGTGCATATACCACGGCTTGACCCGATCACATGTCTTGTCGGGGAATAAAATCAATCCGATGAGAAACACCAGATAAATCTGAACTCGGCGTCTCATGGGCGTGTCGGGCATCAACAATTGTCCCTGTATCATCCTCCACGTGGGGCCCCCATGCTTCTATGACTCGTCAATCTCCTCAAAATCGAGGTTTAATACCTCGGACAGCAAATACATGCAGTTTGTCCGCTCGATGACCTCGTCGTACCTAGGCGCAACCACCCGTCCCTCCACATTGGCACCTAGAATCATCTGGACATCGTGGAGAGTGATAGTCATCTCTATATGGAAGTTGTTCGTCTCCAGCCGCCACCGCTCCACGAATGCAAACAACAGCGGAGCATCTAGGCGCGGTAAATAACATCGGGCAAGGGGATACAAACCGGTCATCCGCAGAAAATGCTTGTCTACGGATACATCTATGTCTTCTAGGGCAACTGCTATCTTCTCGTAGTTGAAATGGTTCAGGGAGTTGATACAGGACTCCACTCGTCCAACCGGGCGTTCCTGCAATCGTTTATTTAGAAAAATATTAATTAATCAACTATAAAAATATTTTAATATAAGATACAAAAATTATAATATTAAAATTAAAACAAGTAATTAACTTACTTCTCCCCTCCAAATATATGCCGCTACGTGCAACTTGAAACTCGGAATCAAAGACGGATCCCGCGGGCCATCGGGAAATGAACCATCTAGCACATCCTGATTGACTCGAGTATGAGCTCGACCACCACGACCTCTACGGCCCCGTCCTCGGCCTCCACGACCTTCACGACCTCCACCAGCTACAACCTCAGTCTCGTGAACGGGGTCCACAACATCCTCCTCCTCCATAGCACGAGAAGACCCAACATCGGGATGTGCAACCGATGATCTGGCTTCACCAACTCTCTCAGCCTCTCGCCTACGTCGTGTAGACATAGTCATGCGCTCGCGCTCGCGCTCTTGATGCTCAGCCTCTTCACGAACTGCTCGCATAATTGCCTTTGATTTGCCTTTGCCTGCCATCTATTAAATTTGACACTATTAACGTCAGTCTAAATAATAATAATAAATAAAACAAATCTTAAAAAAAAACCCAGCAATTTTGCAGTTATTTCGTGGAAAAATACACGAAATTAATGCTTACATTTCGTGTTTGTGTTCACGAAATAAAAGCACTAATTTCATGTGTTTTTCCACGAAATAACTGCAAAAATGCCGAAACACATATGTTTCGTGCAAAATCTTACGAAACAAAAGCTTTAATTTCGTGAGACATCTCACGAAATGTAAGCTTTTGTCTCGTAAGATTTTGCACGAAGCGTAAGTAAAACAAACAATCCTGCTAATTTCGTGGAAAAAATCACGAAATTATACCTTTAATTTCGAGATTTTTTACACGAAACGCAATTTTTTTTTCCCGAAAAGTTTCGAATTTCTTCGAAATACTGAAAACGTATAGATTTCGACGAAATTTGTTAATATACTACTATAAAACATTGGATTAACGATTTCGAGTTCGAGTTTTACCTTAAATCGTTGTTGAATTGCTCGTTTAATCTGCAGGAATTCGAAGGGCTTTGGATAGGGTTTGAGAGGATTTTGAATTTTTTGAAGAAAAGTTACAAATGAAATAAAGTCGCACTGCAAGCCGGTAAAAGTTGTTCTATGAATAGCATTTCAGTTATTTTAAATGCAAATGTCTATAAATAATAAAAAAAAAAAAAATAGTGACGTGCGCTACAAAGTAGACACTGGTCATCTACAAACTCCAATGCAAAAACTATTCTGAGGATATACCCAACCCAAACAAGGCTTAATTCTGAGGAGTGGAATTAGCAATTTCAGGAGTGTCAATATCAATTTCTCTGTCACGTTCTTCATCCACCCGGTTAATGCCACCCCCACTGTTCCTGACTCATTCCTCTTCATCAGTACACTCAATTTTAACTCCTGATCGTTTCTTCAAATTTGCTCTCCTTTACATGAAAACCGCCTGAAATTGCGAACGTAAAAATTTCCTGATTTTGTTGTTATCACCACCGGAACTGTACCAATGGAGAACTCCGGTTAGTGCCATGCTGTATTAATTCCTTTTTTTTTTCTTCCTCTTGATGTTAATTTTTTTTTTTGGAATTTACGGAATTTATGCTATTTGGTTGTTCGTTTGAACAAAATATTCTTGCGGATGGTTGAATTGTATACATGTAATATATTTTCTGTTGATTGCTTACAATTGTTTGCTTTTAGGGGTTTTTTTTTTTTTTTTTTTTGCTGTTGGAGTGATTAATTTTTCTTCAGGGTGATTTTGAATTTGAGCCAGTTTTTAGTTTTATAATTGAGAGGTATTCTAGTGAAAAGTGTTTGTTTAGGGAAAAAGGTGATTTTCCCTCTTCCTTGAATTGCTTACTTGAGATTGTGATTTTCACGATAAAACCAGTTCTGACTAATGAATTTGTTAATTTAAGATGGGGCTGAAGTAACTAGTAGAGGTGTTTTTTTGTGGTCTGTGCAGGGAGCCATCCAGAGGTGGTGGTACCGCCAGTCGAGGGTTTTGCTGGCGGTGGAACGGCATATGGATGGAGTGAAACTGGTACACGGGATTCAAATTTACCTACCGGTTCAATTGATCCCCTGAAAGTTCATTCTTCAGAATTAGTGCATGTATGGTGCATGCCTAGCTCGGCTAATGTTGGGCCGCAGGATATGCCTCGTACATTGGAACCTGTAAGTTGCTGAGGATGTAATACTAAATATTATTTCTATCTTTTAGTTGTTGTTCTTGCTATTATTCCTTTAGTTGATGTGATGTTTAGTTCATATTTGAGGTGCCATTTGGAGGTGAATCTAAATACTGTGTTAGAGCAAATGTTTAGATTTGTCAAGTTGTACCTATTATGCTCTTTTTCCTGCTTTTAATATATGTCTCTTACTTCTATTTACGTTGCTGCTGTCCTCTAGCGTTTGGTTCCATATTAGGTGATTAATTTTGAGGCAACAGTGCTCTTATGTACTTGTTATTTGTGACTGCTCTGTACTAGTTACCATCATCATCTCAGGAATGAGTTCTGAAAAGTCATATATTATTGTAAGATAGTAACTTGACTTCTATCTGACATTGTTTCCTTGAAGATATCTCTTCTAGCAGCGAGAAATGAGAGGGAAAATGTCCAGATAGCTATACGTCCAAAAGTTTCTTGGGCTGAATCTAGTATTGCCGGAACTGTGCAGATTCAGTGTGCTGATCTTTGCTCCACTTCTGGTGATAGGTTTGTCTCAAATATTCAAATCTGTTTCTCTGTGGTGCGGAAAGGGGAAAAATGAAATAAAAATGATGATGTTCATTTGGGATATATGCAGATTGGTAGTTGGTGAGTCATTGAAGGTGAGGCGCGTGGTGCCTATTTTAGGTATTCCAGATGCTCTTGTACCTCTTGAAGTGCCACTGTCTCAATTGACCCTTTTTCCTGGGTATTGATTTCTGCCATCTGAAAACAAGCAGTTTTCAGTTTATTTAAGAGTGAATTCTGAAAATGAGTGTACAATCATACAATGACTATTATTTTCTTGCAGGGAAACATCTGCGATTTGGGTTTCAATTGATGTCCCAAACACACAGCCCCCTGGTCAGTATGAAGGAGAATTCATAATTACTGCTACCAGAGCTGACACAGAGTGATAATCTATCCTCTTTACTTCAATTACATATTAATTCGTGGCAGTGGAATTTAGCATTATTTGTCTCATCTTCTAATGTTTGGAAAATGTTAATGTAAACTGATTAATAGCAGTATATACTTACCTGCATACCTGATTCTGACTTGTCACAGATTTACAGCACAATGCCTGGGTAAAGCTGAGAGGAATCAACTGTACCAAGAATTAAGGAGTTGTCTTGATTTTGTGGAGCCCATTGATGGAAAATCATTGGACGAAGTGGTGAGTTTTATGGACATTTTGACATGATCTCAAGTTGTTGCACTCAATTTTGGATTTCTACCAGATGTTCCTACAGGATTTTGACATGATCTTCAGTGTTTGTCGTCAATCTTGGTTTGTACCAGATTCTTCTATTGTCTTCTAATTGGTCCTCTTTCTTTTACTATATTAGCTAGAGAGAATGAAATCTGCATCTTCATCCTTGAGAAGAGTGCTTCTGTCCCCACCGTTTTCGGACTTATATTCAGATGATGGATCAGTAGATATGATGGACGAGGATGCCATTTCGAACCTTTCTGTCCGGGTGAAGATAAGTTTAACTGTCTGGGATTTTGTTCTTCCAGCTACGCCTTCTCTTCCAGCCGTTATTGGTGTATCCTGCAATCATGCTTAAGAGTTAAATTCATGTTCTTGTAGTAACTGTTATGTTCCCAAAGTTATGGGTGGGTTCTCTTTTAAATGTCTACCAATTTTATCCTTTTTTTCTAGTCATAAATTGTAGGTTGTGATTTTAATATTTCATATTGTCTTGGTAAGTTACTCCAGAAAATGCTAAGTTTAGCATGCAACATGAAATCAGTATTCACATTACATTTGGGGATTCTGAACTGTGATGCAAGTAATATTTGTTCCACGTCATTTTCTGCCAGTACTCTTTTTCTTTTTTGGGTAGTTTGGTGACGGCTTTATCCTTATTGTAAATAAGAGTGGATGATGGCGAGCTTCCTCAACTATGAAAAGATATCTGATACAGTAATTGAAGACCGTTTTGGTGTTGAGCATGGAAGTAGCAAGTGGTATGAGGCATTGGATCAGCATTTCAAGTGGCTGCTTCAATATAAAATTAGCCCATTCTTTTGCAGGTGGCGTGAAAATATGCGAGTTCTGACTTACACATGTCCATGGCCAGGTAACACTGTAACATGCTGAGATGCTAATATGATTGATTTCATTTATTTGAATGAGTAATCTATTCAGGGAAGTTTCTCTGTGGATTGTAGCGTGTGGGTTATTCATTATTTAAAATATTTTTTGTTGGCTATTCATGTATATTACCAATTACACTACTACGAGCTCTATATACTTGGCCCAAAGGTACAACTTATCCAACACTACATTCAAGATTTGATTTGCCTCGTACTATAATACTTCTTTGACCTGCGCGTATTTTAACTCCTGAATTTCTATATTTGGCCCAAAACTATGACTTTTCCAACGCTAAAATCAAGATTTGATTTCCCTACTTTTATACTTCTTTGACTTGTGTGTACTATAACACTTTCCCGTGTTGGTGCAGCTGATCATCCAAAATCAGATGAGTACTATTCTGATCCCAGGCTCGCAGCATATGCTGTACCATATAGTCCCATTGTCTCCTGGTGTGTTTACAGTTGCCCTTAGTCTAGCAAATTTTATTTAACATTTTTTTAAGTTTATTGGATTGTTTCATATTTTCCTCTTAATGTGCGTCAGTGGCGATACAGCGGAGGGATTTCTGCAAAAAGAAGTTGAGATATTAAGAACAAAGAATCATTGGAGAAAAGCCTACTTCTATTTATGGGATGAGGTAAGAACAGGAGATGAAAAGTTCTCTGCTCAGTTGTCTAGGATTTGATAGGTCTAAATGTGCATTTGTTTTGGAGAATTTCGTAAACAGTTTCTATGGGGAAAAGAATAACTGGAAGGAAAGACATGGGATCAAATTCAAAGAAAGAAATCGAAGGAAATGAAATGGGTAACTGCAAGATAAATCCGCACCAGTTATAAAAAAAAAACCCAAGTATCATCATCTAGAAATGCAAGAATGTTCACATTTCTAAAAGAACAGTTGTATTTGGGTTCTTTCCTTCTCACACCAATTTTTTTTCTTGTACTGAATATTGTCCAAAATTTATCAGTACTTCTTTCTAATTTTATGCTCTGCACTTATTTGACTCTTAGAAGTGTGTATGTTTCTCTGTTAGAACCACTGTCTTGTATGCTTGTTTCTGCTTCTTCTAATTGGGCTATCACGCTGTTAAATCCAGCCCCTGAACCTTGAACATTATCAAGCTATCCGTAACATGGCCAGTGAGGTTCATGCTTACGCACCTGATGCCCGTATTATGACAACTTACTATTGCGGTGAGCAATTTTATCCCTTTTAACTTCTTAAATCTTTGTTAAAGATCTGTCGACTTTCTATATGTGCTTTTCTTTTTCTTTCTGAACTAGACATTGAATTTGAAAGTACACATGGAAAAATGAATTTGAGGAATCTGTAGTGTCTTATTTCTATAATGCATTGTGAATCATGACGTATACACCACTAAATTCAAGAACAGAATCAGCTGAAATCTACTTTGCAGTTCATACATCTAATCTGGTTATATCCTTGGTTCATTCCAATCATAACAGATCAGTAATTAACTAATACTTCCTGAACATTCTATCATGCACCTACTTGATCATTTAATTTAACCTTGGGAATGAAGAACATGAGCAAAGAGGGCTCTATGAAAGTTACAATTTTCGTCGACCAGACAATATTGGTCAATAAGGTGCAGAAAAATAACATCTGAGTCCAAAAATTGGGTTATACTAGGAGATGTTGTCCTTCCTATTGAGTTCACTACATATACTCGGTTTTTGCAATATCTATAGATATATATTTTGAGTTAGTTCTTTTCTGTCGAGTCAAGTGTAGATTAATATAATTTGTGTAAGTTGAGCTTCATTTCTCACTGAGAAGTATACCAAGCTTTCCTTCTCTTTAGCCCGCATATGTAATATTTTTTCTCCAAATTTCTATCTGTGTCGTTTGAGTACTCAGTTAAGTAATTCAGTGGTGATGGTTTGAGGCATCAGAACTTGGTATAATTAACTAGCCAGCTTAGGTTCATTTGCCCAAGTATCTGCTTAGTGTGTAACCCTGTTTATCGATTATATTACTACCTGAGGAGAACTCTTCTATACTAGCTACAGCATTACACAGAATGTGTACTGATAGGTCTATAACTAGTGCAGGTCCAAGTGATGCACCCCTGGCTTCTAACAACTTTGAGGCCTTTCTTAAAGTTCCAGAGTTTCTTCGCCCTCACACCCAATTATATTGCACAAGGTGTTGTGTTTTGAACTTGCCCCTTCAAGTACTTAAGTAACGTATAGTAACATCTCACCGCATACACGGATGCTACTGAATCTTATCCAGAATCATGCATTACCACTCGCGCATTATTTGTAGGCTCTCTATATTTTATTTTGGAGATTATAGCATCATCAGAAGAATGAACTTTTTTTCGTTTTCCCTTACAGTGAATGGGTGATAGGCAACCGTGAAGATCTGGCGAAGGATATAATAGCAGAAATTCAGCCTGAAAATGGTGAGGTAATATGTTTTTTGTGTGCCCTCGGATATACTTTTGACTCTGTTCAGAGGCGCAATATTATAAATATTTCTTTCTATTTGAGGTTAAACTTCCTATCTGAGAAAACCTTGTTTATAATAATGTCAGTCAACTAAATATTCATTTCAGCCCTAGTGATTTATCTTAAACATGTAATGTGCTAATTTAATGCATTTTTATATAGGAGTGGTGGACGTATGTATGCATGGGACCATCCGATCCTCAACCTAATTGGCACTTGGGCATGCGAGGCACACAGCACCGTGCGGTGATGTGGCGTGTATGGAAAGAAGGTGGGACCGGCTTCCTCTATTGGGGTGCCAATTGCTATGAACGGGCAACAGTTCCTAGTGCTGAGGTAAAATTTGATCCTTCTTCAGTACACTTGGTGGCCTTGTTTGAGAATTACGGTATCAAATGTTTCTTTTGGGATATTACCAATTACAAGGGATTGTATAATCACGAATTTCAAATTATCATGGACAATATAATCCTAACAAATCCCATCAATATTATTATTTTTCCAGATTAAGTTTAGGCGTGGACTTCCACCAGGTGATGGAGTGTTGTATTACCCTGGACAGGTGTTCTCATCTTCACACGAACCTGTTGCTTCGTTACGATTGGAGCGCCTTTTAAGTGGTCTACAGGTAGTTTTTTTTAATGTTCGGTTATTTGCTACCATATTTTTATCTGTTCTATACGAAGTTTTAAAACTATTTGAATACCATGTGGAGATTTGTGAAATACATACTATTTGAACACTTCCCTCTTCCCTTATTTTTTTCAAGTAACTTATGTTATAATTTTCAAATACATCCTCATCGAAGCCTGTAAGTATTGTACGACATTTTCGAGCTCTTTGAGAGCAATATGACCTTGCAAATTTATTTATCGAACTATTTTTTCAGTAACCATTTACATTGTTGGGAGTTGATATATTTCTCCACGCATGCTAGATAATCTCGATTACCAAAATTCTTTTAATAATTAATTGGTTGACTAGACTTTCGAAATGTTGCACTCCAGGATATCGAATATCTCAAGCATTACTCTTCGAGATTCGGTAGAGAAGAAGGGCTTAATCTTTTGGAAAAGACGGGCATGTATCTAGGTCCCGAGAGGTACACTCATGACCACATGCCGATCGATATTATGCGGGGCGAAGTTTTCAGGACATGCCAATCTCAAAGTAACTTCTAATTCTATCTTTTATTTCTCCAACTTATAAACCATTTTTTTTTTCCAGCATGTTTTTAGTTTTTGATACACTCTGAAATCCTGCATTTACTGCTTCAGTAGAGATGATATATACATATATATTATATATATATATATATATATATATATGTGTGTGTGTGTGTGTGTGGGGGGGGGGGGGGGCACCCCAATATATATCCACATATGAATGAGTAGAGACCAAACCTATATCTGATTCAAAACCACCACCGTAGGATATATGTGAATCTCATTTCCAGGTAAGCCTTCCACCGTAGATATATTTAAATGATTTACTTTTTTTAATTATATATATAATCAACAAAAATGGCAATTATACTTTCTTTAATATGGGTTGAATTTAGTCAATACCTGAAATATGATAGACACCACACTATACCCAAAAATGGTCTGATTGTTATAACTCTCATTTTGTACTTGCTTTCAGTAGTTTTTGTACTCTATTATTTCCATCCATGTGTAAACACCAAGGTACAATTAATTGAGGTTGTATAATATTATATATATATATATATATATATATATATATATATATATAACGAAAAAACTCCTTGAACTTAGGCTAAATTATGAAAAACACCTCCACTTATCCGTAATTACCAAAATCTCCGTGACGTTTGTTTCCGTCTTACACTGACCCCATTATGGTGTAATTTTTCACTAAATCTTTTTGGTTCGATGGATTATTCCTGAAAAGATGCTGATTTTACCCCTTTAGACATGACATTGTTTTATGGTATTTTTTTTAACACAAAAATTAACCTTGTGGGGGGTTTGGTAATTTTTAATAGGTAGGGGTGTTTTCGTAATTTACCTTATATATAATATGGTATAAGAAGAAAAAAAAATGATGACTGACAAGATTAAAAATGTTGCGAAGTCATAAAATAATAGTGGGGAGGCACTGAGAAAATAGGTATAGGCAACAATAATACCCTACAATCTAATCTAATCACACAGCCTCCTAATAAGATCATAATAATATATCCAACTTATAAGTTGCCAATGATGGCTCTTTCTCTAGATATAAAAAGCAATTTTCTTTTTTTAATATATAATAAAAGGTGATGATGGCAGAATTAAATATTGGGTTAAAGATTCAAGGCATGCATTTGATCATGTCAATTTGGAATCGTGAAAACACTTCAAAGGCAAAAAGATAATCAAAATAGTGATGATTGCTACTTATAGATACAAGAAGCCCCCTTTCACTTGTGTAATTATTATCTCTTTATTGACATTTTAGCTCTACGTTTTTCTTTTCTTTCTTTATTTACCCCTTACAGCTGTATATATGCTCTGCAACTAGACCATCCCTTTTCTCTCTTAGATTTGTGTGTGTGTGTGTGTGAGAGAGAGAGAGAGAGAGAGAGAGAGAGAGAGAGAGAGAGAGAGAGAGAGAGTTTCTTTCTTTGTTGGTGCTGCACATGTATGTGCATGAATGGGATTTAAGGGGATGATGATTTTGTTTGTTAGTGTTGTAAAACTACTTTGGCATCAAATCTAGATTGTAAATTATTAAGATTATAGTTGTACTTTTAGGGTAAGTTATAGAAAATGTGTATTATAGATTCAATACTATAATCTAAATAAGTTATAGGAAATGTATTATAAATTTTAACCCCTTTTAGGGTAAGTTATGGAAAATGATTATTAAAATATAGGTGAAAAGATAGATTTTGTAATACAAAATATACTACACAATCATGAATATTTATTTGTGAATTAGCATTGTCTATTAAGATTCTACTAGATCTTTAATTGGTATTCAATTATTATAGAAAAAAAAATGGGGTGATTTGTAAAATACATTAATTACAATGACATTAGGGTTGCTAAAAAATTGAGTCATTACTTAAAAAAAAATACAAAAATATCATCAAGATTGTTTAGCGTTTCTTTCTTTTTTTATATAAAAATAATCAATTTGTTTTTTCGTATTTACTAAAAATATACTATGAACCCAAAAAAAAAGGGTATATTGCAACTGTTCCCCTAAGGTAAGTTTTATTTACAAAAAAAATCCCTTATTTTGTCATAATTACATCCACCCCTACAATCTGTAGATTTCTTACATTAACACCCTTTTATAGGGAGTGAATGTAAAAAAATTACAAACTTCAGGGAGCTGGATGCAATTTACTCAAAAAAAATTCAGTACTCTTTTTATTAATTATAATTTAGCAAGCACCATCTTAGTTAAAACTTTGAACTAACGTGAGCCGCATGCTTTCCTCTCACTCTCACAATTTTCACACACACACACGTTTGTGTGTGTGTAGTGAGTCAATAATAATGGCACATATATATAGTAGTAGTGAAATGGTGTGAAGGCAAGGGGGGTCTAAATGGCTAAAAAAAAGTAGCATGTTTGGTACCAAATTATTGTCACGGATTTTTTACCGAATTCTGATTTGACCATTGAATTTGACCCACAGCTGTTTTCCAAAACACCCTTCTCTCTCTCCTCTCTTTCTCTCTCTCTCTCTTCTGTTTTCACACAGTACCACCACCCGACAGTTTTCCACGTCATTTCTTTGTCCTTATCGTATTTGTTCGACTGTACACCCGGTGAAAAATATGGGATGGATCTTCTGCTGCTACGTGTCTCTTTTTTGTATTTTATAATAAATTCCCCGCTAGGGTTTACCTTTAGGGGTTTTAGAAAAATAAAAAAAAGAACACGTGGCAGCAGAAGACCCACCCAGTATTTTTCACCGGGTGTAGGGTCGAAGGAACCGTCGTTGTCGTTTTCGCACAATCTCAGGGGCGTTTCTGGTATTTCACCTCTCAATACTATTTGGCTTTCAATGCTTAGCACATGAAATTGTCCAACGAATATACAAATTCTACTCGTTTTTTTATTTTTCTTCACCCACTTCCCTACAGATATATAATAAATGTAACACATTATTGATTTTGGATATGACACAAATATTATAATATATAAATATTTATAAATATAATATACATAATCTATATTATGTATATAACCTATTATATAAATTTAAATAATTCAATAATCTTATATATAAAAGAAAGAAACGCTAGGGCAACCCTAAGAAACCCTAATGTCATATTTGTAAATTTTTTTCAATTTTTATCAAATTTTTATCTCCTTAATATTATTTTAAATATTATTTTTGAATTTTATCATATTTGTATCCCCTAAATATTATTTTAAATATTATTTTTTATTTTTATCAGATTTTTGTGTCCTAAATATTATTTTTTATTTTTATCAATTTTTTATCTCCTAAATATTATTATAAATAATATTTTTTTAATTTTATCAAATTTATATCTCCTAAGTCCTAACTATAATTTTAAATATAATTTTCAACTTTTAGCAGATTTTTATCTCCTAAATATTATTTTCGAATTTTATCAAATTTATATCTCCTAAATAATATTTTAAATATTTTTTTCGAGTTTTATCATGTTTTTATTAGTTTTTTATCTCCTAAATATTATTTTCGTTTTTATCAGATTATTGTCTCCTAAATATTATTTTCGATTTTTATCAAATTTTTATCTCCTAAATATTATTTTAAATAATAATTTTGATTTTAATCATATTTTATCTCCTAAATATTATTCTAATTATTATTTTCATATTTTATCAACTTTTATATCATTAACATTATTTGAAATATTATTTTCGATTTTTTATCAAATTTTTATCTCCTAACTAATATTTTAAATTTTATTTTTGATTTTTATCTCCTAAATATTATTTTTTGATTTTTTTATCAAATTTTTATCTCCGAAATATTATTTTAAATATTATTATCGATTTTCATCAAATTCTCCTAGATATTATTTCTAATAATCTGATTTTCGATTTTTACAGAAAAGGGTAAATAAATCTGATTTTCATCCCTAGCGGATTTTGTGACATCGTTTTACAGAATGTCTGCAACATTTGAATTTTATTTCTTCCCTACCTAAGGCTTCTTCTTTTGGTAACCCGACTTTAGATTTTGTTTCTTATCTTCTTCTTCATCCTATTGCATGTGTGGCAATTAGTTTACATCTTTTTCCATCATGGCTTATAGGTAATTTCATTTTGTTAAATTATGTGTTTCATTAATTTATACCAAAGTTTTCAAATTTTATGTATAACAATTATTTCATTTTATATTTTATTGGACATGTTATTGAAAGGGATGATTTGAGAAAATTAACCAAAAATGGGCGGAGCCACAAGCTATTGGAAGTCGACCTTCAAGACTTATTGTTTGTATGCGATATTTAATTTATTGTTTATATTTATTTTTGTTTCTTAATTTTCCAATTGTTAATTCCAGTGGCAAAACAACCTTAAAATGAGGCAGTGGTGAAGGGTTTAGTTCCGATGCAAGATGTATAGATGGCCTTTTACGATGGTATGTTGTCGATAGTTTAGTTTTGATTATGTTAACTTAGTTATTAAATCTAATTACTTTTAAGCTCAACATGGAAGACATAATTGATGATTTTTTTCCTGGTTCAAATTTTCAATCTACTGGTATTAGCTGATTCAATTCATTTGGAAAATTATTCAATAGTAAAGTTATGTTTTTTTTTTTTGTGTAGTATATTTAATAATGTTCCAGTATAATAGAATTTTAATCATACGATACATCAAACGTTTGTTTATATTCTTACAACATCAAAAGAATGCAATTTGTTGTCCCGTGCATCGCACGGGTACAATTACTAGTCTATATAACTTAAAGAGAAGCTTCGAAAATGTAATTTCTTTTCGAATACTATTATTTTTCGATGATCTATTGTTCTTTGTTCGATTATATCAATTTTGTTTCTGATTCAATTTTAATTCCTTAAAATAATTTCGAATTTTTCGAACTTTTTGATGATAATTTCACTTACATTATTTGTAATATTATACATATACACGTTCTTTATGAAAAAATGGAATTTTCGACTTCCAACTTGAAAATTTCTGATTTTGAAAAAAAACCCTTTTCATTCCAATTGTAAATTTCAGTTTTCGATTTTTCTGAATTTCTTTTTAATGAAGATGGAATTATATTGTATTCCAAAAGATTTGAGTTTTTTTTCTCAAAATGTTCTTATTTTGATCCGATCAGTTCAAACATCTAAATACTTATAGGGATGATGGCTTAAAAGAAAAGTAAACCTTTTAACATTAACATAATTTGATCATTTATTGTAGTCTAATGTCAACTCGTGTTTAAATAGTCAATATTAAGTATTTACTATGATACTTTTTATAGATTATTGGTTTAAATGTTGTGTATTTCACACGTGTAAAACGAGGTGAAAGCTCTTATCCAAAATTCCTAATTTGTGACATTTCAAATTGGTTAACTACTATCTCTAAAGTCCAATTTTCATTTTCTACTATCAATTAAAATTTCACATTGTGTACAAAAATCTCTATTAATTTATATAAAAATATAACAAAAATTATGTAAAATAGAGTCAATGCTTACTTCAAATTTTCTTTAATGAATTCGGTTCTTCAAATTTAAAATTATAGCTCCGCTGATGCACAACTCGATTTTAAAACAAGTCTTGTTTTGAATCGGTGCACGTCTCAAGAAAATTAATAAACATGATGGAAGTTATATAGTATTATAGTGTGAGTAAAATATACATTTAATTAATTTTATTTACATTAGTTAATTAGTAATCTTCCAAGTAATTAGCGAAACAAGGGTAAAATTGTAGAAAAAAACCCCGAAATTATTCATTTGAAAAATAGGAAGTAATAATTAATCGAAAAAATATATAAAATCGTAGTTTAGAATATAATAATATTAATTTAATTTGGTGGAAAAATTGAAATGCTCAACTCCCAAGATGCACAGTAAACGACAAACACAATGCAACGGAGGTAGTGAGTTCCTCCGACAAGTGTCCCATGAGTGCAGATTCCTCCACGTGGACGGTCGGATTCAAACTGCCCATATCTTCATCCCGAAGAAGAAGAACGGCTTAACCACAGCTAAATAAACCATGGTTAATTATCTGCCGCCGCTTCATGTTTAATCACACAGAGCTAGAGAGAGAAAGTAGAGAGAGAGAGAGAGAGAGATTTTTATCAGAATTATTTTGACTACTGCGGCAGTGCAGCAAAACTAGTTTTTTTTTTTTTTTTTTTTATCATAATAATAATAATAGAGTCCAAATCTCTCTTTTTGTTTTCTTTTTCTCTCTCTCTCTCTCTAGAGAAGATACCAACAAACCCAAATTCTAGTACAAAACAAAATTAATTGTTTTCTTCTTCTAGCTTAGTTTCTTGCAGCAAAACTGGTATTGATCGTCGACTGAAACAACCACCGCCGCCGTCGCCGCCGTCGAGTGAGCTTTACGGCTACTGAGTTGAACCGGCGTCGAGTGAACTCAGTTTCGAAGACATGTACAAAATATAATTTCTCTCTTTAATTAGGTTATATCATCAAGTTATAATTTGATCGGTTCAATACGGAAGAAGATATATATAGATAGATATATACATATATATATTTATATATAGCATGCAAAAAACCATGGTGGAAATTGATGGTTCCCCACCTCCATCGTCACTTTCCGGCGAGAATCAAATAAAATCCGATCAACCGGCGGCGGAAGCAGCACCCTTCCCCACGAAGAAGCGGCGGAATCTCCCGGGAATGCCAGATCCAGATGCGGAAGTGATTGCGCTATCGCCGAAAACGCTGATGGCGACGAACAGATTCGTGTGCGAGATCTGCAACAAGGGTTTCCAGCGCGACCAGAATCTTCAGCTCCACCGGCGCGGCCACAACCTGCCGTGGAAGCTCCGGCAGCGGACGAGCAAGGAGCCCCGGAAGCGGGTGTACGTGTGCCCGGAGCCGAGCTGCGTCCACCACGAGCCGACGAGGGCGCTCGGAGACCTCACCGGAATAAAGAAACACTTCTGCCGGAAGCACGGCGAGAAGAAGCACAAGTGCGAGCGGTGCTCCAAAAAGTACGCCGTCCACTCCGACTGGAAAGCCCACATGAAAACCTGCGGCACCCGAGAATACCCTTGCGACTGCGGCACCGTCTTTTCCAGGTCATTATTATTATTATATTATTAAATCAATTAATTAATTAATTAATTAATACTACTTTCATTTAATTTCATTTATGCTGAATTTCATTAATTAATATTTTCAGGAGGGATAGCTTTATTACGCATAGAGCTTTTTGCGATGCGTTAGCGCAAGAGAGTGCGAGGAATCAGACGGCGGCGCCGCCGGTTTCAAGTCCGCCGCCGCCACCGCTGACACCGTCCACCGGAGTGCTGTCGCCGGTGCTGTCAATTCAGAGTTCGGGTAAGTTATTCTTTACTATTGTTATTATTATATGTGATTTGACTGACTGCATTTGTACAATTTGCTAAAACGAGGGTTTCATGTACAATTATTATTTTTTTATATGAGGATAAGTATATATAGTAAGATTCACAATGTGTGACGACACTAACTAACTAATATAGAATTTTTGTAATATTTTTCACCATCATCCTAAATTAGATGCTACACATGGTTAATCTTTGAACAGTTCAAATTTTGTTAATATAAGTACCCAAATTATTTATAAATAACTAGGTGTAGTATTTAATTTCTCCTACTATATGTATTAGTACTTTCTTCGTTTCGTTTTACAATATCTGTAGTTTTTTTTCGCACATATTGAGAAATAATATGGTGTAATTAATGTTTGGAAAAACACATTAGAAATACTAAAATAAACTGTATAGTTTAATGGGAAATTAAATGGGTTGATAATATGATAGACTTGGATTAATAAGGTAAACTATTAAAAAATGCACTACTAGAACTAGAGTGGCAAATAATATGAAGAAAAAAAATAATAATAATCATTTAAAGCAAGAAATAATTTGAAATAGATGAAGTAAAATAGTTTCCGGTATACACTCATTGCAACTAGTTTCTGCTGTTTAATTTTGTGTGTGTGTGTGTGTGTGTGTGTGAGAGAGAGAGAGAGAGAGAGAGAGAGAGAGAGAGAGAGATTTAAAAAAGAGATGAAAAGAGTGTATGATTGTTGCATGGGCTTTTTCTCTACCCAAAAAAAAAAGAAAAAAGAAGAGAAAAAAAAGGTTTCTTTTTGAGTTGAAGTAGTTTTGCATATTGGGATTCAGTATATTTTTTATTTGAAAAAGCTAAATCTTTTTTTCTGCTTTTCTTTATCTCAAAGCACTCCTTTCTTCCTTTATGATCCTGATCATGTGCCTAATCTTTTTTTCTCGTGTTTGTTGTCTTCTCTCTTTTTCCTCGTACGCCACGCCATCACAGAACCGCCGGAAAATCATCAGATTCCTCAACTGCAACCGCCGCCTCCGCCTGCGGTCACCACCCCCAGCAGCTCCTCCACCTCCAGCGGCAAAGCCGGAGCCTCCGTCTTCGCCGGCATTTTCAGCTCGTCAACAACATCCGAACTTCCCCAGCATCATCAACCACCACCTCCGCCGCCGCCCTACTCCGGCAGCCTACTCTGCCCAATGCCGCCGCCACCTTTCGACCCCATGTCACTCTCTCTTTCATCCTCCCTCTACGGGGCCCACCCATCCCTATTCCCGCCTCCAACCCACCAAAACACTCAGCCGCCGCACCCGTCACTCTCCGCCACCGCACTTCTCCAGAAAGCCGCGCAAATGGGGTCCACGTCATCGTCCAACTCATCATTCCTCCGCGGGCTGGGGCTTTCTCTCCCCTCCTCTTCGGGCCCACACCACGCCACAACTAACGTGAAGCTCGAGAGCAACTCGTTGGCGTTCGGGCTCGGGCTTGGAGTGGGGCCCGCTATATCTAATTCGGGCTTCAACGAGATAATGTTTGGGAACAAGCCCGCCGCCGCCACCACCCTTGATTTTCTCGGGCTTGGAGTGGGGCCCGGAGATCAACCCTCCTCCGACGGCGGCGGTTTCTCGGCTTTTCTGAGCTCGATTGGCGGCGGTGGTGGTGGTGGAACTACGTTTGTCGGCGGAGGAGACATGTGGGATGATTCGGATAATGATCGGAAGCCAACGATGCTATAGTTTAATCGAACGAGGTTTTCTAATATTGAAGAATTTAAAAAAAAAAAAAAAAAAGGAAGAAGATGCAATTAGCTTTAATTTATGCATACATCTCTCTTGGTTTTGATTTGGAGGGGGGTTATATAAGTGCTTGTGATGACACCTTTTGGATTTATGCTCTTGTAATTTGAGGTGAAGAGTTTTTGTATATGAGAGAAGTGTTCTTAGTTTTTTGTTATTTTTAGTTTTAATGCATGGTTGTTAGTGTTACTTTAATTTGTAGTTTAGTGTGTATAATGGTGCATTATTTTATACTTTGAGTTGTTGTCATTGTGCTTTAAACAATAATTTGAATTTTCAAGTAGACGAGGGTTTACTTTGTGATATAACAATAACTATCTAGGGTAAATAAATATATAGTTAAATGGAATGCAACATAATTTGTCTCGAACACTTTCTAAGTCGATCTCGTCATATTTTGTTAGAGACAGTTTGCGAATTATTGTACGATTGTGAGTTTATTCAGTACACTTTAAGTAGCTGTGGGTTCTATTAGTTTATCGCGTGCGAGTGCATGTATTGACTTTTGTCAATTAAAAAATAAGTGAGTGAGAAAAGTGACGTACGCTGTTGATTTTATATTATCAAAAAAACTTCAATTCAGAACTGCCAAATGAGTTATCAAATATTCATTTGATGTTACTACGTACAATATTAGTTGTAAATTAAATTTAAGAAAACAATGTACGACAAGTTGGACTTAAAATGCGATAACAAAAGGGGATTGGATTTATGCCATTAAACATGCATCAATATGATTTCTCACAAGTGAAGAGAGTGATTAATAAACAAGAATTTGTCGGAATGGTAATTTAGTTTTATCACACAAATTTGATTTTCTTTAAATTTAGGGATGTCAATAGGACCATGTGAACTGATGATAGGCTTATACTCCAACGTCGTAAGTTTCACGACTAGAAATTTAAACTCGCATGTCATCGGATCTTATAGTTGGAGATTCACTCAGCTCACATATTATTTCGACTTTTCGTTTAAATCGGGCTCAGATTAAACTCATAAGTAGTTATAACCAAGGTTGTAAAAAGCGGTAATCGGGTCCGAGTCGGTCAGGCACCGACTCACGATTAATCGGTGCGGCGGTGATTAATCGGTGATAAATCGGAAATAAATCGGTTTTTAAAATTTAATATAATATATTTTTAAATATTATTTATAAATACTCCAAACATATATAAAAAGATATTTAAACATAGTTATATCTCCATCATGTATATATCCTAATAACATAATAAAAGTTTAATAATTATAAGATCACAATACATAAATATCCTTATAAAATATTAATAAAAAAATAATTTTTTTGAATTTACATTTATTCTTGAACATTCCTGGCATACATCATTAGTTCTTTAACAATAACAATTAACATAAACAAAATAAGGCATAAACTCATATTTTCTTTTATTAAAATCCAACTTTTATTTTGAATTATAAAAAAAAAAAAAAAAAAAACCGATTTTTAACCGATTTTTGACCGATTTTTGCCACCGAGTTTGACCCGCCTTAAAGGTTTGACCGCCTCAGACCGCCTCGGACCGCCTCAGACCGCCTAAAACCGCCTCACAGGCAAAAAACCGATTTTTCAAACCTTTACACTAAAATCGTAAAGGTTTTGAACCGCCTCCGCCTCGGAGACCGATTAATCGGCCGCCTCGACCGATTTTTAGAACACTGGTTATAACATTAAAACTCAGCTCAAATGGACTATCATATTGATTAAAATTATTATTTCTTAAATTTTGCCTTATAAATGGCAATTTATATAATCGAACCTTAAGAGAATTCAAAACTAATTTAAGAGAATCCCTTTGCGGTGGATTGATTTCAACAAGGGCAAAATCTCAATAAAGCTATATATATATTTCCCAAATAAAAGAGGGGTCTAAGTGTAGTTATAACAAACTTTATTGCACATAGCCTAGGTGTAATTTATACTAATATCCAAGTGTGACATAATAATAGGGGATAACTATTTCAAATACTAACTTTTGCTTACTTGAATACCAAAAAAATAAAAAATAAATAATTAATTGTAAATTACTTTAATGCCCTTAATGAAAATTAAAACCAAAAAAATATTACAAATATTATTTTTCTTTCTTAAATACCAAATAATCAAAAACCTAAAAAAAACATTTCCCCTCCTCACTCACAAACCCCTCACATCCTCCACCTCCTTCTTCTCCCTCCCCAAAAACCCTCCTAAAAAACCTCAAAACAAGAGAAATCAAAACCTTACACAACTTGCAAAATGGCGTCAAATGACAATAGAATGGTAGTTTACGAGCAATGAGAACCCATTCAAGTATGTATTCATGTATTTTTTGAGCTAAAACATCGATTTTGAATTTTTTTTTTTTTTTTAAAACTCGCCATGTATTTTCGACACATACAGGTCGAAAATACCCTTATTTTTCGACATGTATGTGTCGAAAACATAACAATTCATATTTTATTAAGTTTCGACACCTAAGTGTCGAATTTTGATACAATTTTCGACACCTAAGTGTCGAAAATAAAAAAATATCCTATTCAAATATAAAAAAAAAAAAAAAATAAATTACACAGCTCTAATTTGACAGGTAGCTGTCGAAAATTGGTTGAATATTCGACAGCTAGCTGTCGAAAACTCATCCAAATTTTGACAGCTATCTGTCGAATTATCAAAAATCCCATTTCAAGCTTTCACATTTTTCGACAACTATATGTCGATTTTTGATGAATTTTCGACATCAAGCTGTCGAAAATTCATCAAAAATCGACATATACAGGTCGAAAATTGTGAACGAAGAACCAACCCACGAATCTCAAATCAATGCTCAAATCGACTGAAATTAGATGCACCCATTACTAATTAACGATCATTTCTACCTAAAACAATCAAATCCTAATTACCCATATCAAACAATCAAATCCTAAGTAAATATTAAAGAAAAAAAAATCGAAAAAAATTATTACTTGGATGAATGAAACCGGAACGAAGAAGCGGCGGCGGGTTGATAACAATGGACGAAGAAGCGGCGGCGGCGGCGGCGGCGGCGGCGAGGGTTGGAGAGGGTTGGAGGTTTTTTTTTTACAACAAAGGGATTTTTTTCTTTTTTTTTTATTTGGTTTTTGATTAGGTAATTTCTAATAAAATTTGATATAATTGATTTTTTGTATAAAAGGGTGTTTTTGTAATTTTCTTTTTATTTTGGTATTAAAGTAAGAAAAAACTGATAAATATGTACTCAATTTTGGTTTTAAACTTGGTAGTATTTTTTTTTTTTTGATAACAACTTGGTAGTATTCAAGTAAGCAAAAGTTAGTATTTGAAATAGTTGCCCCCATAATAATATTCAATTTTCTATTTATTGGTCTAAGAGTTGTTATATCATCATATATTAAATTATTAATGTTGAGCAATTATTAAGAATTTAAGATGGTGATAGCGTCGGGTGAGTACTGTGAATAGTCAAATCTTCAGTCAATTAAGACAACTGTTGGGTCTGAATTCCTATATTTAATGCATCCATGTTATTTTTCCAGACATATTTGTCCCTCCACTAGTCCACTGCATTACATTTTCAAAATAAATAAATAAATAATCTGCTTAAATTATATTTTTTCTCCATTTCAATTTTCAATTTAAAATAATATTTTAAAAAATATTTTCCTAAATTAATATTTTATTAACTGACTTGAATTTGTCAAGTGCCAACTGTATTATTCAATTTATAAAAAAAAGGAACTTAAGTGAGAAAACTTATTCCAAAATCAAAATTTTGTGTGTCCAAATCGACGAACTTTGAAAATTTTGTTTTTCATTCGCGTATGTATTTTAAAGTACATAACAATCTTATATATAAAAGAAAGAAACGCTAGGGCAACCCTAAGAAACCCTAATGTCATATTTGTAATTTTTTTTCAATTTTTATCTCCTTAATATTATTTTAAATATTATTTTCGAATTTTATCATATTTGTATCCCCTAAATATTATTTTTTTTATTTTTATCAGATTTTTGTCTCCTAAATATTATTTTTTATTTTTATCAAATTTTTATCTCCTAAATATTATTATAAATAATATTTTTTTAATTTTATCAATTTTATATCTCCTAACTATAATTTTAAATATAATTTTCAACTTTTAGCAGATTTTTATCTCCTAAATATTATTTTCGAATTTTATCAAAGTTATATCTCCTAAATAATATTTTAAATATTTTTTTCGAGCTTTATCATGTTTTTATTAGTTTTTTTATCTCCTAAATATTAATTTTGTTTTTTTATCAGATTATTGTCTCCTAAACATTATTTTCGATTTTTATCAAATTTAATCTCCTAAATATTATTTTAAATAATAATTTTGATTTTAATCATATTTTATCTCCTAAATATTATTCTAATTATTATTTTCGTATTTTATCAACTTTTATCTCATTAACATTATTTGAAATATTATTTTCCATTTTTATCAAATTTTTATCTTCTAACTATTATTTTAAATTTTATTTTCGATTTTTATCAGATTTTTATCTTTTAAATATTATTTTTTGATTTTTTTATCAAATTTTTATCAGCTAAATATTATTTTAAATATTATTATCGATTTTCATCAAATTCTCCTAGATATTATTTATAATAATCTGATTTTCGATTTTTACAGAAAAGGGTAAATAAATCTGAATTTCATCCCTAGCGAATTTTGTGACATCATTTTACATAATGTCTGCAACATTTGAATTTTATTTCTTCCCTACCTAAGGCTTCTTCTTTTGGTAACCCGACTTTAGATTTTGTTTTTTATCTTCTTCATCCTATTGACTGTGTGGCAATTAGTTTACATCTTTTTCCATCATGGCTTATCGGTAATTTCATTTTGTTAAATTATGTGTTTCATTAATTTATACCAAAGTTTTCAAAGTTTATGCATAACAATTATTTCATTTTATATGTTATTGGACATGTTATTGAAATGGATGATTTGAGAGAATTAACCAAAAATGGGCGGAGCCACAAGCTATTGGAAGTCGACCTTCAAGACTTATTGTTTGTATGCGATATTTAATTTATTGTTTATATTTATTTTTGTTTCTTAATTTTCCAATTGTTAATTCCAGTGGCAAAACAGCCTGAAAATGAGGCAGTGGAGAAGGGCTTAGTTCCGATGCAAGATGTATAGATGGCCTTTTATGTTGTCGATAGTTTAGTTTTGATTATGTTAACTAAGTTATTAAATCTAATTACTTTTAAGCTCAACATAAAAGACATAGTTGATGATTTTTTTCCTGGTTCAAATTTTCAATCTACTGGTATTAGCTTATTCAGTTCATTTGGAAAATTATTCAATAGTAAAGTTATTTCTTTTTTTTTTGTGTGTAGTATACTTAATGATGTTCCAGTATAATAGAATTTTGATCATACGATACATCAAACGTTTGTTTATATTCTTACAACATCAAAACAATGCAATTTGTTGTCCCGTGCATCGCACGGGTACAATTACTAGTAATAATAATGTTACGAAGTGATTTTCACAAAAATGAATATTTTTTGGAAATTAAAATTGGAATAAAAAATACACATCCAATTAAAAAAAAAAAAGAAAGAAAAAATATCCCTTTTGAATTAAACTCATATTTTTAAATAATAGTGTTTTAAATTTGTTAAACAAGCAAATTGCTAAAAATATTTACTAATAAATAAATAAACAAAGAAGGAAAAATATATATATAATGATAATAAAGTACAATTAGGGCAGGTTTCACGCTACTAAACTCACTCACCTCGCAATTCTCACCCAATCTGCCATCGGTATTCACCAGCCACCACCAGTCGACCACCGCCGGCCGTTGCTCGTCGCCGGCCGTTGCTCGTTTCCGCCGCCGCTGCTCGTAGCCGGCCGCTCACAAGTTGGCCGCTCACTGTAGACGTCATCATCAATAGGTCCCCTTTTTCAATTTTCAATTTTCATTTTTTATAATTTTTATTGGTGTGCGCGTGTGTGCTCTGACTTCTGTGCGTGTGATTAAAAAAGAAAGAAAATGCAATTACAAAGAAAGGGAAGATGTTGGACAGTTGCCCTGGAAGATTATAAAATAAGAAAGGTTCGATTTTTTTAATTCAAGTTGACGCAATTGAAAAGAGAGCACTTTTCTACATCAAAAGATTTCTTCGTTAACACTTGAAAGCAGCCAAAAATGTTGACAGATACAATTAACATGGTTGTTGCAGCCAATTCGAATCCAACTACCCAAGAGATCAATTTTTTTTGTAACTCCATTAACAAGTCATATAAACTCTCTACTTTCTTCTCCCTAACTGTGTGAATTAACACAATTAATCTTCAGTATCCTTTTTGAAAGTAGGTATTGGAGAATAACAGTTCATCTCTGCTTTTAACGTAACTTAATATTTCTCAGTAGAGTTCTTTAATCTGTGATGAATGTTATGACTTTTAGGAGTTTTTATTTTTTTATTTTTTGGTAATTGTGTTTTTTTTGTGGGATAGTATTTTCTATTTTTAGAGAATGGAAGATTTCCCGGTTCCCATCCCGAATTCCCGAAATATTTAGGGATTCCCGATACACCGGGATCTTAAAGTTCTATCCCAAAATCCCGATTAACAAAGATTATACTTTCTTTTTGTCACTAGGAATTGGAACACCTTGGCGAAATTTCTGAATTCGCCACTGCCTCAAATACCTCTGAATCCAATTCGACGAATGTTTAGCATCGAAACGTGATAATATTTCGTCGAAACTATAATATTGGCGGATCGTTTTGTCTTCCTTTGAGCTGTCGCCATTGTTTAATTCTGAAGGTGCGATTTTTGTTTCCTTTCGTAAGTTGTACTTGATGATTTTGGTTTGCCTGTCAAATTTGGGTATCGGGCTTGTATGCGGGCGGGGTCTGAATTTTTTCCAAGACTTTATAGAGCTCAAAGGGTGATCATGTCTTGAAATGTTATGTAAACTGAGTTGAATTAATATTACGAGCTTGTCAAAGTTTTGAGTTTTCACAGTCCAAATTTGAGCGAACGTAGTGCCATATTCAGCCTTAAGTTTTCTTTTGTTTGCGTGTAGTGGATGGCGGAGGTTTTACAGGCGAAAGATGCGGATGAATGGGCTTATAGAGGAGAAGGAGCTGTGAACTTGGTTCTTTCCTATTGTGGAACCTCTCCTAAATTTGTAAATTCTCTCTCTCTCTCTCTCTGTTTTTTTTTAATGAATTTGAAATTATTTTAATGTTGTTTCTTTGAGAGGGTAATTGAGACTGAAAATGAATTTTTATAGCATTGGAAATTAACCATCCATTTGGTTTTTATTTCTTCACTAATTTAGTTAGGGAGAAAATTGACAAAGTTGCTATAAATATTTTTGCCCTTTTGCATGTCTTCAGAAAATTAGTTCTGAACCTAGGTTGGCATGTGGTTTTATTGGGTTTGCCTCATTGTAGATCACCGTCGTGCATTATTCCATATTTTTTGTGAGAAAAAAATAAAGTTAAAATAGTTAATAGTTAATACATGTTTCAATTGATCAATGTATTAATTTCAAAAATTGATTGACGAACCAAGTGCGTGAAAAGAGGGACTAATAAGTTTTTTTGGAACTACTTATTCTGTCCAAGACTGACTAATTTCAAAAAATAAATACCAGCTGAAAAATTGTAAATTTAGTAGTTCAAGATTGAAGAGTGCCTTCAATTCGTCCACTAACTGTACAACTAGATAATTAGATGTAACGAACTTCTTAAATATCTTTATTGCATCTAGGTTGGGAAGGTGTTACGGATACAAAAAGTTTCAAATAAAGTATCTAAATATGAGAATGGTCATTCAGCTCTAACCAAGGATGAACGAGTCTTGTGGGGACAATTTGAAGGCATTGTTGCTGCCCGGACAAGGGAAATTGCAGAGCAACTGTATGTGCAAAAAGTAATGTGCCCATTGTTGGGTTCTGAACATGTTGATGCAGGTGTAAGCTATTATTTCCTTCTCTTTTTTTTTTGTTTTCTTTTTGAAGTTGTATTGGGTCCTTTTGTAACCAACCATTTTTTTTTTCTGTCTGTTTGTAACGTGTAATCCTCATGATCATTGATTTCCCTCAACAAAAAAACATTCAAATGAAACTTACTGCACCGTTTTATTCTTGGTTACTATCCAGCAGATACTTTCTTTGTCTTGTAGTCACAAATTGTAATTACTTGTTGATATACTCTTTCATCATTTAATTGTAATTACTGAACCTATGTTTGTAAAATTATCATGAGTCTCCAGAACAATTGAGCTATTGGATCTTGTCATGTGATTTTTTTGACAGATTCGCATTCTTGTGTCAAGAGAGTTTTTAAAGGCAGTTGAAAACAAAGTTCTTCTTCAGCGTCCTACGTTGCGTGTTGATGCTGCCAAAGTCAACCCCCTGTGTGATTCAGTTCTTGTCATTGCTGATCATTCAATATTTCCTTCTGGTATGAGCTACTTACCGACATTGATTCGATCTTGCATGTGCACTTGTTACTTACCAAATCTATGTTTTGTAACTATTTTAGATTCTTCAGTACGTTTCAACTTATCCCTCATTTTCTATTTTTTACTAAGAGGGTGCAAGAGTTCTGATTGTTGCCAATGACAGTGTTATACCCATTCACCCCACCTAATATACGGACACGATTTTTAAACAACCATTTTCAAATTGGAGATAGTAGTTAATTGGACTATGAAGACCTATTTTTGTCATGTATTTGGTACAGTGAATGGGTATAGCATTGCCACTGGCAACAAATAACTCAACAACCAGAACCCTTGCACCCCCTAAATGCAATTGAAGAATCTAAAATAATAACAAAACATGGATTTGGTAAGTAAGGAGATCAAAGATTAGCTATGTATTTTCATGTTTGCATTCTTATATTTGGATCTACAATCTGCTAATTTTGGTCAATTTTACAGTTAGAGGTATTCTGAAAGAGGACTTTTGTCTGTCGGTTGAGATAAAGGTGCATTTCTTGAAATCCACACCGCTTGCTTCTCTTCGCATATATGCTAATTCTTATAATGTAAACCTTCAACAATTTTCTGGCAGTATATAACGCCTTTCATTTTATTCTCGTCTTCTGCAAAAACAGCCCAAAGGTGGATTTCTTCCTACTTCAGACTTTATAGATGAAGAAAATGCAGTCAAAAAGAGAATTACTCGCTTTAAAATGCACCAAGCTCTGAAATTGCATGATGGAGTGGTAATATTTTGACCTTATCTAAGCTTCTCCTTGAATGGAAATGAGCATCATTATGGATGTTCGGTTGTCTGTCATCTTATATCTAAATATTTATTGTTTGAGTTTTTGTTAGCATGTAACCGATGGAGATTCTTTAAATGCAGATATCAAAAATAAGTAAATATGACCCACTGGATTTGTTTTCCGGATCCAAGGATGGAGTACAAAATGCAATTAAGTGTCTGTTTCTTACACCCCAGAATAACTTCCGAGTTTTCTTAAACGGTTCGCTTATTTTTGGAGGCATGGACGGTGGTGCGGCAGAGTGTGTGAGTTATACGGTCGATCAAGCATTCCAAGACGGAATTAAACGTGTTATTGTGGCAAAAGATGGGATGCACTCAAAATATTTTCTGGAACTCGTTACTGAAACTGTTATGAAGTCCGGTTTGTTGAATCAGCTTCTTGAAGTACAGAAGCTTGATTCTATAGATATTGAAGGGGCCATCCATGCCTATTACGACTTTGTTTCTCTCCCTTGTATGGTCTGTCGTAAAAAAGGTGAAAACAAATTTTCGGGAAGATATTCATCAATACATTCAATGTCAAAGGATGAAAAATTAAAACTTGTGAGGAATTACTTGATATCTGCCACCGGAAAGGACCTAAGTATGATGATTAGTTTTAGGCCCAGAAAAAGTATGGATGTGGAGTCTCCGCATAGGTCTGTACTCCTGAAAGAAATCAATCAAACTTTTGATTACAAGGTGAAGTCTTTATATATCCTTCCAAGTATTATTATGATTAACTTCTGATCTGTTGTAAAGAAGGCTCGATTCTAAGAAGATATAAAATCGTTGGCAACTTAGATGAACTAAATTCATTGGCATATATTTGTTTTTCTCTACCATTTATTATTGAAATGTCACACCGTTAGATCCATGTATTCATTACAACATTCACTTTTATTTCATCTTCTTGCCGCCTTCTTTAGAAATTATTAGAGAATTATTCGCCCATTGTTAAACAATATAATTTTTTTACTTTTTTTTTTTTGCATGTTGGTCTAATTGCCTTCTGACTAAAGTTCATTATCCGTAAAATATAATAGGCATCTTTCATTGACCTGGATATGAAACCACTGAAGAAAATGGAGTATTACTACGAGTTAGATCAGCAGATAGTTAGCTGCTATGTCCAGATGGTAAAAGACGATGAAGCAATTCAAAATGGTGTGGTGGGCATCGACGGTTCTTTAAACTCTTACATAGCCAAGTGGAAATAAATTCTCGTAAGTCATATTATTTCTTGCTTTCTTTCATCTAATTTATAGTTTAAAAATACATATAATTCAATTTTGCATTGCATTTCAGTTCATCTTTAGAATAACTGTCTGAAGCTGTAGATCAGGAACCGGCTTTGATCATTCGTTGTGGGTTTTATTTATAGCTGTCCAAAGAACTTGTAATGATTTTTAAGTTGCAGCCTTAACGTAGGTGTGTGATTAACAAATCATTTGCCGTTATGTAAACATGTAGTATTTCATGCTTGTGCAGAAATGGAAGGTTAATTGAGGAGCTCAATGAAAGAGGCATGCCGGCTTTTTTAATCCTATGAAGACAGCGATGTATCTATTAGTTTGGTGCCGTTTGTTTCCAACCCATACGAGCAATGATTTTTTTATAAAGCTAGATTTTTTGGACTTAGTGTTGCTGGAAATGGTATGCTGGGAGATGGATTAGATTACCGTTCATCCATCAACTCTAGGAGATTTAGGACAAAAAGTTAGTTGAATCAGCGACAAGTTAGTTGTCTATGGTTTTATGTAGTTTGTATCAGTATCTATCTATCTATCTTGTATACTCTCCGCCTTTTTCTTAATAAAATGTAAATTTTCGCACTTGTAATTTTCTGTACATTTAGCTGTACTGGCTACGAATTTTGTTCATGTGTATCTGGTGGAGATTTATTGACATAAGGACGGCATTTTAGCAGCCGAGTTTACGAGTGTATCTTGTGCTTGAAAATTTCGACGAGCCTGCTTGTTTTCATCCCAGCTTCGAAGTTTCTTTGAGTTCGGCTGATAGAATCTCATCCCGTTTCCAGGTGGAATCCTTCAACAACTTAGTGGCTCTACCGGGTGTGCTAATCCGCTCGATAGGAAATTCTTCGGGAAGGGTTCTAGACGAAGAAGAAGAGGTCCCGTATGTAGTAAGATTGATTATCGTTAAACTATTTTTAGTATATCGGTTTGTTTATGAGTTGAACTTAGGTTGGGGTTTGACAATTTTGGATATGGAGTTATTGGTTTGAAGGTTTCTGCACTTACATAATTGAGTTTCGGTTTTTCGTTAGTTAAGCTTTAAGGTCTTGGGGGTTTGTGGGATTATTCCATGGGTTCACAACCATTGTCATTCTCTAGGACCATATTTAGGGTTTGGGGCATGACAAACAGTCCGCCCGAATATTTTGAATTTGTTAAAAGTCACTTGGGCAGTTCAGTTAGACAGAAAGTAGACAGTTTAAATTGTTAATAGACAGTTAAGACTGAAAATGGGCAGTTAGCTTAGTTGGAGAATATGAACTGAAAATAAACATCTTAGATGAAAATAACATTTTTTCAATGAGAGGACGAATGAGTTGGAAGATAATAATGTATTTTGATGACCATATGTCTGTTTAAGCTCTCTAATTAAATTTTTCGAGGGACTTTTAGCAAAATGTCAAAATATAGTTATCGTGATATGAAAGGGTACTAATGTTCAATAATGTTTAGCAAATTGCCCCTAGATGCAAATATATAATATAATGCAATAATTAATAATACAAGGAGGGTAAAATCTACTTTACCAACACCAAATTGCCACGAGATACACGAGTAATGATCATAGAATCTAGGCTTAATTCCACCTTGGACCTTTGAAATGTAGGATTTTGGTGTTTGGGGTCATCAAAAAAGATGGATGGTAATTTGCACCCTTAAAACACAATAAAACATTCACAATGCACCATAAATTGAATTTTTAAAATTTAATGAGCGCAACTTTTTTACTTTTATTGATTTTTTTTTTCCAGAGTGCAAAATAACAAATTAAATTGTTATTTTCTTCTAACTTCTAAAGCGTACAAAGTGTGGAAAAAAAAACTTCACACAAAATTACCTACAAAATTATATTTTCTCTAAAAGAAAAGAACATAAACTTATCAATAAGTTATTCGATTGATGAATCTTTTATTATAACTATGAAAATATTTGAGAGTAATACAATATGAAGATGTAATTTTCAAATAACTTAATAAAAAAATAGCTGAAAGAATTTTATCTTTCTATAAAATACTTTTTGGTGATAAAAAATTATATTTTTTAAATACGTTGATGAGATGTTTTATTTTTCATTTTGCACTTTACATTTATAGTTTTGAGATTGGCTTGAAGAATTGATGAATGTAAAATTTTGGATTTGATAATTGACATCTTAAAAAATACCTCTAAAATTATTAAATTATCTTTATTATCTTAAAATAATCACTCAAAGTGCATTCTGCATGATTTATTATGTTTCGAGGGTGTAAAATGATATTAAATTTTTCAAGGGTACAAAATACCTAAAAACTATATTTGAAGGGTGCAAATTGCAAAATGAGATTAATCATAGGATCTACCTACCCTGCAAACTTAGAATGTTGAGATGTCAATTTTTCCACGTGACAAATTATGTGAAGTTGAAGATATCTAAGAAAGGGACATAATAGTCATTACACAACCAGGGCCGAGTATTTATTTGTTGACATTTGATAATTAATAATTATTAAATCCCCAAATCAGTCAAAAAGGCTAATTAGGGTTTGTTGGTGTCGGTGGATTATTGGATCAGAAGATTAATGCCCATCTCCCAATCCATTCTCTCCTTACGTAGCTTCTGAACTCACCGTTTCGGAAACCCCAACAGCCACACAGATCGTCGGCGCGTGGATTTCACGACCCGGCCCCTCGAATACCTCTGAATCCAATTCAACGAACGTTTAGCATCGAACCCTGATAATATTTCGTCGAAACTATAATATTGGCGGATCGTTTCGTCTTCCTTTGAGCTGTCACCATTGTTTATTATTTCTAAAGGTGCGATTTTTTTTTTCCTTTCGTAAGTTGTGCTTGATGATTTTTGTTTGCCTGACAAATTTGGGTATCGGGCTTGTATGCGGGCCGGGTCTGATTGTCTGAATTTGTCCAAGACTTTGTAGAGCTCAAAGAATGATCATGTCTTTGAAATGTTATGTAAACTGATTGTATTAATACTATGAGCTTGTCAAATTTCTGAGTTTTCGCGGTCCAAATTTGGGCGAATATAGTGTCGTATTCAGCGTTATATAGCTTTCTCTCAGTTGGTATTGATTGATCTTAAATATTGCAATTAGAACCACTGCAGAGCGAATTATAGAGTGTCAAATCTTTTGATCTTTTATTTTGAGTATGGTTTTATGTTCTTAAGATAGGGTAGTGACATTCACGAAAAATACTCCAAACAATATGGCTTATCTTAACCGTGTATCGTATTATTTCTAAACTTTTTTGTTCCGGCAAGCTCAAATATGTAGAACAAGGATTTTTCCCTTTTTTTGAATTTCCTAAGAGATTTTCATGTGATGGCTAATCTAGTTAATGTCAGGTTTGAATTAAAACTATAGTTCTTGGTGAGTCAAAATCTACTTTTGTTGTGATACATTGTAGTCGTATTTTATTAATTTTAAGGAAGTGAAACCAGAGCTGGGGAAAGTAATAATCTTGGGTGTATGAGTTGTGTTAAGTTGTAGAGATAGTAATTAATAAGCGTACAGCTGCTTTCATGAACATGAAGCCTTCTTTTAATCTTGTGCCCATGAGCTTTCAAGTTGAATTTGTTGTATAGCACAAGTGATTTTATGGTGCAAAGAAAAGGCTGCTGATACAGAAGAGGAATTTACGTCTTCAATATAACGAAAGTTTTTTCTTTTACTATATATTGCCGGTCTATGCAAGTATGAAGCAATTTTGTTTGGATTTGCATTCTCATATTTGCTCCTCACAGTCTGCATTAATCCGTCAGGTTTCTCTTAACATTTACTGGAGAGAAAGAGGCTACTGGTTGCACAGTTGTGAATACATGCATTCAGAGTGATGATAATTATCTTTGTTTGTTGTACTTGTGACTCTAATCCGTGTGACGAAAATGCCGTCTAGTTATTTCTCAAGACTTCAGAGTGCAATACTGCAAAAAGCCTGCAGATCAGTCTCGGTGAAAGGAAGTGGAATCCAAGAAAATTCAGATGCTTTGATTGGACAAGGGAAGGCTTTGGTGGGCCAATCGAGGCTCGTTCATTCATTACCTTCTAGAACATTAACAGACCTGCATGATTTTGTCAGGCCCGGTACTGTTGCTTCTGCACAAGCGAATTTGCATATAGCCAATCGTAGAAGGAATCTTTCAGTCGCTGGAGCATTCTCTCGTGCGATTTCTTTACCTTCTGTAACAGGGCCTTCGTTTCAAGTCTGTGGATATCACGTTGATTGCATTAGCTCCGAAAAGGCAGATATGGCTGTCTGTGGTTCTCGATCTGCTATTTCCGATTGCTCTGTCAGTAATTTGGCTTCTTCTAGGCCCGTACCACCTGGTGTGGCAGCGTATCACTCGTATAGCAGAAGGAACTTTAGTAATTGTAGAAGAGCTAGCATGAGTTTGGGAAATAAAGAACAGCCTAATAACTTCTTGTTGTACGGGTTTTTCATGTACAATGTAGCAAAGAGAAAGGGGAATGGTAATCCGTTTGTTGGACTTGGATTTGAAGGTCTCCATATCTCGTCTTCGACATGTTCCTCTGCTGGCACTGCTCGTGACGTGTCGTTCGGTAACTCTGCGAGGGAGGAACATGAATCTAGCTCTGCAGATGAATCTAAGCAGTATGTTGTTTTCCGTTTTTTTCCAAATTTTATATTTGTATGAAATTTATCTAACATCATTTGTCACTTGTTTTGCATCTCCTTGTTGTCGCGTACATGCATCATTAAATTTTGTCCGACGTTCATAAGCATCTTAAAATTGACGTTCATTAGAATGTTTACAAGAAGTTTTTTTGAAGCAATTTCTAATCATTATGAATTGATGTTAATTGCAGAAACGCCCCAACCGACAGAAGCCTGAAACTAAATTCCGGATCATGTTACCTGCCCCATCCAGACAAAGAAGAAACAGGTGGAGAAGATGCTCATTTCATTTGCACGAGCGAACAAGCCATTGGGGTGGCAGATGGTGTAGGCGGATGGGCTGATGTCGGCATTGATGCCGGTAAATACGCCCGTGAGCTAATGTCCAATTCGGTCAATGCCATTCAAGAAGAACCAAAGGGCTCCATTGACCCAGCCCGTGTACTCGAGAAAGCCCACACTGGCACTAAAGCTAAAGGCTCTTCAACCGCTTGTATCATTGCTCTCGCGGAACAGGTTTGTTGTGTGTGCGCTATTATTGTCGACACATTTGCGTTATTAGATTTTGGTGCTTCTGGTTTTGCAGGGTTTTGTTAATCAATTAATTAATTAATGTTTTTTTTTTTCCTTTTGTGTAGAGTTTGCATGCGATTAATTTAGGAGACAGCGGGTTTATAGTGGTGAGAGACGGGTGTACGGTATTCAGATCGCCTGTACAGCAGCACGATTTCAATTTTACTTATCAGCTGGAGTGTGGTAATTCCGGGGATATGCCTAGCTCTGGACAGGTTGCTTTAGCTCCTTCTTACACCTATGTGATTTCAATTTCAATTGCTTCCTTCATTTTCTTAGGCTCTGTTTGGATCAAGGAAATTGCAAAGATGAAAGTACTAGGTGAAATAGATTTCTTGGATTGGAATATCCGATTTTCGCGGATTACAATTTAATATGAGATTCCGATTTTAATTTACAAACATAATCCAGAAAACTCCCTTCTTTTTCCAAAAATTACACTTATTTAATATTAAAATTTTTATGCATTTTATATTTTAGGTGACTTATAAATTAGAATTTTCCGAATCCCGCCGGATTGGAACGATTTTTTTCCTTCCAATTTCCAAAAATTTCGATTTCCGATTTTTTCAAACATAATGGGAGTTAGTTTTTTCACTTTTACGTAGAACCCTAGCAGATTTTTTTATTTTTTTCATGGCATAACCTCAAAGCATGCTTTGGGCAAAGAAAATGATTTTCCGCAAAATCAATTTCGTCACTATTTTCCTTATAAACCGAACATACTGGAATTTGTTTTTGTTTTCGTTTGCTTTTGCGTTTTTGTTTTGCTCGTTTTTCGAAATCCACGATCTAAACAGAGCTTTAAATGTGGTGCAGGTGTTTACAATCCCTGTAGCTCCAGGAGATGTAATAATAGCTGGAACCGCCGGTCTGTTCGCCAATTTATACAACAGGGACATAACAGCTGTCGTGGTTCACGCTGTGAGAGCAGGGTTAGGCCCTCAGGTGACAGCACAGAAGATCGCAGTTTTTGCACGGCAACGGGCCCTGGACAAGAACAGGCAGACCCCGTTTTTTACGGCAGCTCAAGAAGCTGGATTCCGTTATTCCGGTGGAAAGCTTGATGACATCCCCGTTGTTGTTTCTTATATTGCCAGTGACCCCAATGCTAATGTATGATGATTTTTTTACCCCCCCCCCCCCCCTCTCTCTCTCTCACACACACACACACACAACGTACTCGAACGAAATCGTCTTCTTTTTTTTTTTTTGGTTTTCTTTTTTCTTTCTTGTATGCATCAATTCATTACTTTTCGAGTTAATTGCAATTAGTACCACGGTGTTATTTCTTATTTCGAACAACACAAAAATTTCCCGTGTTATATTAATTAGCAGATACCATCTATAAAATGCGTCGGACTGTAGATTGCATACAATCTAATTATACGAATTTAATGGTGGAAATTGGATGGATCAGTTTGGAATTACCATTTTCGGAGGAATTCTATTTTTGTTTTTTGAAGTGAAAAATTAGTTTCAATTGTATAAAAAAAAATCGAAATGAAAAAATTTGTTCCAAAATTCGAATTTTTTTGGATCTGAAGCGGGATTGGAAAATTTCAATTTTTATTAACCTAAAAATAAAAAAAATTAACACACATAATAATATTTGTGATATTATGACTGTAATTTTTGGAAGAAAATCGGAACTTTCGGGATTGATATTGACGAAAATAATTGTTTTTTGGTCTAAGTCTACCTCGGTACGAACATGTGTAGCCGAATAGAGTAAGGTTACCCACAACAATATGTAGGTTATTTATATGCTACACCCGATGAAGATTACACCGGGTGAATTTTTACACAGTTGATTTACACACACCAATGTGGATGTGTGTATATGTGTGTCTATCTCGGTACGACCAGTGGCGTATCTACCATAGTCCTAGGGTGTGCAGTTGCACACCCTTGGATTAAAAAAAAAAATAATAAAATTATATATAATATTTTGGGGTTTTTTTTTATATTTATAACTAATGAGGGGTTAAATTGAAATTTAGTAAAAATTAATACAGCCTTACCAGAGTCAGAGACCCCTAATATGTTGTTTTTTTTTTTCTATTTTTTATGTATATACTCCTTTTTAAATTCCAAATCTTCTGTAAATAAATTGGCTTGTAGTTAATTGGTAGAAAGTTTTTAAAAGGAACAAGATTTAATTTTCATTACATACAATATTTCAATTGTTTTCAATTTTTTGAATATGTGGGTATTTTTAAATATTTTATATAATCTAAATTATTCAAAAATTCTTAATGTTATATATATATATATATATATATATATATATATATATATATATATATATATATATATATATATTATTTCAATTATTTTCTAAATTTACAACTATGTGGGCATTTTTTTTTATATTTTAAAAATTCAAAATCTGCTAATCAATTACATATTTTGTTACTTGCAACTTTAATATGTTTACCACTCCTTCAATATTTTCACCAATTTTATGTCTAAATATTTCTTAAATTAGTCCAAAATTTGTAAAACAATCCCTTTAAATTTGAAAATATTACATATTTTTATTATTTAATGTTTATAGTATTAAAAAAAAATCGGGGGGGACTCCCCCCAAAAACCCC